ACTCGACTCGTTCTCAATCGAGATAAATCGCGCTCGAATATCGATATAATTTAATCTGTTGGTTAAACTGTATTTTCGTTAAACTGGAACTGGACGAAATAAAAGTTGGACGGAAATGAATTATTCTCGGAAGGAGAATTAATTCATGACGCACGATCGAGATTCCGTTTAACATTTCAATGATCAATTAGCAATGTCGTACGTATATGCTTTATCGTTTCATCGCTTCGAGCGAACATTACGTTTTTAAAAATACGCCGAATACAATACGATCTCGGATATGGCGATATACGCGCAACTCATTCTTTATTCGAAGTGATTTGTACAGATGTGTGTGTGTGATTCGTACGATTCGAGAATATACAAAATATTAATTTTCTTGCAAAATACAATAGAATCTTCGTCACGCGTACACGTACACATTTCGTTCGAACGATACATTATGATACACGTATATATAAAGTTTTATTTCTTTTTACGAGACGAAATTTATTTATTAAATTTGTTTAGCAATGAGGAAAACGCTTCGAATTCTATTCATCGACATTTCGTTCATCGAAAATTATTAGAAAATACGGATTATACGGATATTCGTTAGAAGTTTCGTTGCATTAAAATCAGGACATAGAAGGCATCGTTTCATAGGATAATGTCTGATAAGTTTCGTTTATACGAAGGGAAGTGAGAGGAAATAGAACGTTGAACAATGAGAAAATCCGAAAGGCACGGTCTATGCGAACTAACACGTTAACGATCCTACCCTGAGTCAACGGTTTCATGACAGAAACCAATACCGTGAAATATCTACCAACTCTATGTGTATACCAACCGGAAGCCACCGAATTGTTTCGGCGGAACTTCCCCAGACGGCGTGCAGGTGCAGCTGCGAATAGGTATTTCTAAAGCTACTACCAGAATCCAATTTAACGTTGCCCTATGCTACCCTTCGCCTTCCGGTATATTTTAATCCTGAGCATTGTCTACAGTGTCTGGGCGGATTCATTATCGGCGATTGCCATCGAACTTGCACGCGATTGTTCGACCTTTGCCCTCTTATCGATCGTAAACGCGTCTCCTCCCGCTATCTCCTCTTTTTTGGCGGAGCCAAACCCTTTTTTTTTTTTTTGCCTCTATCTCTATTCGAAGTTCATCGCGTTTAACGGGAACGGGCGAGGGAAATTGGAGTAAAAGGAGGATAACCCATTCTCCCAACGATATTTGAATAAAATTGAAAATATTTAACGCGTTGACAGAGACACCTTTTAATCCATTTAATTTCTAATCAAAAACTTTTATCGAATGAACGAGATTGTTTAATACGCAATTCGATGACGCGTGGAATGAGCGCATCGTCGTGGAACGATTATTTTCGGAAATAATTTGAAGTGAATTTTAAAAATTCATATGGAATAATTTGGTTTTTGAAGAAAAAAAAGAAAAAGAAATATGAGATTATTGTTTAGAGCGTCGATAGCCGGCGCGGCACGAGAACCACGAGACGTGATTAAATAGCCGGTTTCCGCAAAACGGCGAGCACATCCCCACGAGAAGTGTAAGTACATAAGCTTTTGGCCCACTTCCTATTCATTACTCTCATTATCAGTCACGTTGTCTCCCCTTTCGTCCTATATCGTCTCCGTTTCGCATACATCACGCTTACCTGCACGCACACCAACTTCCTACGAATTTACTGGCTAGAAACCACGGCAAAGCGTGGTCCATAAATGAGCCGCGTGCTCGTACATGCGGGAATTAAACCGGGGAAATAAATTAAAAATATGCATGTGACCGGTGGAAAAGAGGAGAAGAGAGATTATTTATATTTAGGGATTATATATCCATCTCTAAAATTTCCTCTCTTTATTCCCGCTTTATCAAATATTATTCGTGCTATTAACTAAATAGATATCTAACACATGACTACGAAATATACAAATGTAAATTAATTATTTCGAATTACTCCGATCAAATATTCCCCCCCTTTGCTTCAACGTTAAACGCAATTGTACGATATTCAAACGTACACCTTCGGGCTATGTTTCCATTATCATGATCGAGTTTATACGAATATCAGAGAGCAAGGAAAGACGTTGAAAATATGAAAAACTGGCGGAAAACATGACGTGAATAAAATATCCGTTTCGTGTAAATGCGAAATACGGAAAAATTCTAACCTCTAATTTTCTATATTAAACGCACCGAAAATAAGTACCCGCGACAAGGTGTCGAGCACGTACGCGGAATTAATCCAAAGGAACAAGAAACGAATTTCATACCCTCCTCGAATCAACCGCTTTTACGCTCGTGCCCCCTTTAAATGCCGCGCGCATCCGGCACAGAAGCAGCCGCGTTTATTTGTCTTCAAACGCGTTCCTCCACTTCCTTTCACGGTCTTTTCGACAACGGGTGGGCAAAGTGAACCGACGGGCCCCTCTTCGTGGCCGACATCCTATTAAAATCGACCCTTTTTCGAGGTTTCGGGGCGCATTCACCGGCGAAACGTTGCGCGCCGTTGGAAACGAGGCTTTACGCGGGCAGAAACGGAACCGGAGAATATAAAATGTACATACATCGGCATGCATAAAAGCTTGGTGGGTTGCCGGGGTAAGCGAATCACCGACCCATAAACCATCCTTGACTCTCTCCTCGTCTTTGCCTACGAAGCGCCTGCACCGCAGAAATTGAAAACTATCGGCTTCGTTGGTTGGCTCGGTGTCGCGCGCGCGTATCGTCTTACGGGTCTGAAGAAGCGCGAAAAGATATTTGTATTTTCTTTTTCTTTCTTTCTTTCTTTCTTTCTTTCTTTCTTTCCCTCCAACATCGCATGGATGAATCCAATGCGAAATCGTAACGAATTGATAACGAATCGCGATGATTTCTAAATAACGGAGAGATAATTAGGGATAAATTTAATTATGCAACGCTATATATCGGCCGGAATGTTTTGTAAAGTGCCCTCCCTGCAATCAAGTACGCTCTCTGTTCTCAGACGCAAGAGAAAGAGAAAAACGGATTGAGGAAAGGAAGGAATAGGAATATTTTTCATGAACGAAAATAGATTAACGATTGATTCGAAGGATCTAATATTGGTATTGAATGTACAAAATGCTGAGACGTGCAAAAGAATCAAGAAATTCGAACTGATCGATGACGTGATCTTTTCTCAAATTAAATTCTATTATACTCGAGGACTTTCGCGTAATAAAAATGATTGTGGTCATTTTTTCTTCACAGAAGAACAGAAAAATAATACAAGGATATTATATGGATATTATATCTAAGATTTTTATTACGACAAAATAATTTAAAACGAGATATTGCGAATTTTATATTCGATATTTGACTCAGTAATAGTTTTTAGATAGAAAAAGAAAAAGAAAAAAAGAGGAAAGAAAGAAAAAGAAGAAAGTATCAATGTACGAAATTATATCAATTGGATCGGTAAGTGTCAAACGAACTCTTCTGAAAGAGTGAAAGAGCTCTTCTTCGTTTCAGAAATACGAAGCGCTTCTGAAATTCTTTTTATCGATCGGTAAACCGTACATAGGGAGATGCCGCGTTAGTTGGCACGTGCTACGAAAGAGCATTGGTTTTCACTGTATCTCTACGAGAGGTCAACGAACATTCAGGATTATAGAAAGTCCTTCAACTATCCGATTTATAATGCATATCTTTATACGAGGATGATTCGTTTCGTTATTATCCCAAGGACATTAAACTCATTCCGTTTATACGATAAAATCGTTACTTGTAAAAAAAAAAAAATAGAATTATTTATTTTATATTACAACTCGATAAAGTTACATTATCAATGAATATTAGATAAATTCACGTAACGTATTATTTCACTACCTAAATAATTAATATGCTATAAAAGTGTTTATAAATTATTTACAAGATACAGAAGTTATAAAATATTTATTCATAATGTAAAAATATCAGGGAAAGATAAAAGCCAAGGGTCACTCGAATCAACTATTTTGAGCGGTTCATTAATATAAAAATAAAGTCTATTAGAAAATACGCGCGTTGCAAATCATCGTAAGGGAAGGGTAGAATGAAAAGAAGAAACAAGGGGGGAAAAAGCATGATGCAAACGACTGAGTCCGTGGCCGTGAGTACCTCGTCGCATAACCGCGGCAAAAGAGTCCCGCCAGAGCTGAAATTATTGCGTTTTCTTGGATCACGTCCAAACACCAACAACTAACTGCCGTGTGATTATTGCAACACATTCTACTATACTGGCCTACATCGATATAAAGAAGAACGCGCATTTAATATTTCGATTTATCGATTCTTTTCATATTTTCATAATTCGTTTCATTTTGATAAATGCAACGAAAAATATGGCGTTAACTCATTCAAAGATCGGTCGAACGATAGGGTGAAATAAAATTAAGATCTCCAAGAAAGATTGAATAGCTTGGATAACGACCTACTACGGATAATATATCATATTTGTAAGAGAAATCGAAACAAGCACCACGGACCAGGTTACACGTACCACGTGGTCGAAACTCCAACAAGTATCGTGATCATTAATCATCCCTTTAATAATCACGCGCGATTATATCGAACGTAATCTTGCATTCTCGTAAACGTAACATGCGACCTCTCTCGATTAACTATGGGATTCAAGGTCGAGCGTTGTGCGCAACTCGCACACGATTTAGAAAAACTAACCATAACAACGAGTTGATGAAGTCTTTTCAATCATGAATATCGACGATTAAATCTTTCATCAGATATACCACGAGTTTTCTCTCATTCGTTTAAGAAAAAGGGGGAGGGAAAGCGCTTGAAACTCAATAGTTCGATGTCGAAGAAAGAGAGAGAAAAAGAGAAAGAAGCGATTAAAGAGGCATGCAACTGACAGTCAGATGACAGCTGACCGAGTGACCCATACGTATCGCCCCTCCCATTGGACGATTCTGGATTTTACTCCGAATCGACGGCAAGTTCAGGGGTGGTTTTTGTTTCGGTAAAATAAGAGAGCTTACCACCTTGCTTACGAACTGGCATTCCGTTTGACGACAATTAAATCCTGGTGGCACGTCAGACAACACAAGGCTGTAGATAAAGGGTGAACGACGGCAAAGAAGCGTAAACGGCACTAGTTTACGGAAGGGAGAAGAAACGGGAAAGAGAGACTAACACAAAGCACGGTATGTCACGTCGATACTCCACGATCGCGCACAGTTCACTATTGTCACGCGAATCGACGACCTGTTTCACGGGTGGCGTAGACGGGCATGTACACGGCTCGGCACGTCACTCGCGAGACCTCCCGGTGGTCCGTCGAAACGTGGTAAAACGAAACGGATATAAACACAGGCCGCCACCACTCGGCCACGGGCAATATGGCGTCGCGCTTAGTCTAGCAGTCGGAAAACTGACTAGTCGCGAGAACGCCACCTCCGATTGGTCGATCGCACCATGCGTGACGTCAGGTCGTCTCGTGACTTACTCCCCTGTGAAAGCAACCCCTTAAGAGTACAATAGTAGTAGGCATGTATATATAAATTTTCCGATATATTGGAAAAGATGTAACATAGAATGATATTTAGAGTGAAATTATGTTTAACAGAAGATAATAATTGCGTGTAAAATCGAACAACGTATTACTTTAATATTTAAAATAATAAAAGTTATTTAAATACCGACGGTGTATTTAAAATATGTAATTGAGCTTACATAAACCTCCAGTATGTGTCGCAAGCTGAAAAGACTTCAAACAGTACCATCTTACGGTGGAAAGTAAAACAATAATCTTTTAAAAGGGTTTGTGTACAAAATATATTCTATGCTGAGTCGATAATTTTTATGTAAAAATTTTTATGTAATTTTTATGTAAAAATTATCTGCACAGATGCATTTAAAATATAGATAAACATAGATCTACTAAAATAAAATTCATGATAGGTAAGATAAAAAATATAAAATGTAATACATTTTTATCGTATACTTCAAGAATTCAATAAAGAAATTCGTCTTAGATATTCCCAACATTATCGACCCAACATTATCAAAGAAAAAGATAAATACCGACCGTCAATATTTATCTTATATAATACCGACCTCAAAAAAAAGATCAAAATGTTTTTTGCGCTCTTTAGCGTGTAATAATCTAAATACATACTAAATTTATAGTACTTCAAGCTCAATCGGCTATTTTTTTTTTTTTAATATTTTTCAAATAAATAAATATTTGAATTATTTTCTAAATTATTTTAACTCTCTACAAGCATTCAAACTATAAATTATTTAATCTACCTATTAAAGACACAATGATTTTACTAACACACATTAAATAATTAGTTTATAAACACTGCCTATTTAAAATTTTAAAAATTATTTGCAATACATATAATAACACATTTTAAAGATTATTGAAAGCAGGATAGCATTAATCTAATTTCTAATCTGCTTTCAACAATTCATAAAAAATACTTGACTTTTAAAGAGAGGATATGCAGAGGATAACTATTAGGTAGTGTTTACAATGGAACAAGAGAATTAAGGAATTTAGCAAGCCATGATGATATTGTTTTGAAAAATATTGCAAAACAAAGCTAAAGTTGGGCAACAAGGTTGGGAAGAAAATAATATTTAACATAGGATTTTTTAAAATAGGATAAATAACAGAATGTCAAACATTTTCACATATCCTGACATACCAAAAAATATTTCTAACATAACAATTAAATAATTCGTTTATACATCTTATCTATCAAAAATTTAAAAATATCCTATCCTATATATTTAATTATAAATTAAAAAATTAAAAATTTTTTCTATCTTACTAAAGGAATTTATCTCTTACATAGGAAGATTTATCAATCATCTTCCTATATATATATAAAAATCTAAATAGAGTACAAAAGAAAGAATGAAATATTCTTTCCGTTCTATTCCATTGAAAATTGAGTGATTCCTGTAAAAAAAAAAGAATAAATATAATTAAATAAATAATAATAAGTTTATAATATAGTTAATTTTTACCAAAAAGATCAAATTTCTCTTCATTTCTTCATTTTCTTCAATGTATACCTATAACAAACTCAATTATCGAATTAATAATTAAAAAATAATAATAATAATAAATACATTTTATAATAATACTTTTAAAAACAAACGCTCTGTTAATAAAATAAAAGAATACTGAAAAAGAAAAAGACAAAAAATTAATAACACAAACGCTATCAAAATATAATAAACATTCACTCAATACACAACCGAACAAACCGTAAGCAGAATATATTTTCGCAATACTAATATACTATATTATATTATACAATACTATATTAATATACTAATGAAAAGTTCAAAAGAAACCGCGAAGAGTGCTTTATTATATTTATAATCCAATTTTTTACCAACAAAAAAAATAAAAATAAAAAAAATAGAATGGAAGATTTTAAATATTAACAATAATAAATACAAATTTATGCACTCGTAATATTAAGCAAAACTAATAGCAAAAAATTGCAATCAATGAAGCCATATTAAAAATAGTTGTTGTTAACTTACCATTGGCT